TATATTATTATATTTTATAACATTATTTAAAAAAATTTTTTTAAATTTGGTGAACTAATTATTTAAAAATACTCAATTTGAAAAATGTGTCTTAAATAACCCAGAAAATTACTTTTCCGCCTGCTATTGGTGGTTGGGCGGCAAAAGGCTACTTTCCACCGGCTGTACCTGCACGGAAAGTCGCGTTATCGTGCATGTAGGATAAAAAGTTCATATATTATTTCAAAAGTTTTACACCTAAAGAAAATATATTGTATAACTATTCAATTTCAATAAGTACAGTAGAAATTTTCGTAATTATTTTTCAATTTTCCTTCTTGACAATTTTTCTCAAAATTGAAAAATATTTACTAAAATTTCGACTATACTTATTGAAATTTAATATATATATATTTCCTTACATAATATGTACATACAGTGTAAATAAAAAAAGTCAGTTAATAAAAGATTGATTATTTATAAGTTTATTTTAAATTTGATGCAAAATTCCAAATTGTTTGGCTACATCTTTTTCTATTTCACCACTTTCCACAATATCGATCGTTGTTTTTTTTCAAAAATCGTTAAACATTTTTGCTATTTCGGAGACGTCATTTTAAACTTGTACAAGAAACGTGACAAGTCTTAAACTGAATTTAATAATAAATTAATGGTTACATTAACAAGAATGTGTAAAAATGAATGACAGTATATTTAATTTAAGGGTGTGCTATATGTACATAATACAATGCTTAAAATAATAACGCCTCCTAGGAAAGTGCAACTTTCTTGGTTAGAGAAGTATTAACCCTATTGAAAAAAACACGTATAATTATACGTATAATTGTACGTATAATTATACGTATAATTGTACGTATAATTATACGTATAATTACACGTATTATTATACGTCCACTTATACGTATAATAAGACATACGAATTTGAAACAAGAATTATACGTATAATTATACGTAAAATTGTACGTGTTTTTTTCAATAGGGATATATTTTTGTTTATTAATATATACTTAAATATTATAAAATATAGACACGTATAATAATACGTATAATTATACGTATTATTATAAGTATAATTATAATTCTATTAAAAATAGAATAATAGAATAGAATAATAATAGAATAATTAATTAGTAGCAAAATTGCGCTGAAAATTTTTAGAAATTTTAAAATGCAAATTAAATTTCACGAAAAAAAATATCGTCGAATGTCAATTCAAGCAGTCACCCATCCAAGTACTAACCGCGTCCAACGTTGCTTAACTTCCGTGATCTGATGAGAACTTGTTCTTTCGCCATGGTGTTTTCGCTGTCTTGTCTTGATTAATAACTTTGTCGTATAAGTATTGTATCGAACCTAACCTCACTTTTAGTGACACGAAGTAACACAAATATACTTCAACTTTACAAAAAAAAAGAGAAAACAAAAATAGTGTTCATTTGAAACCGATTCTCAATAATTAAAAGAATTATATGCTTGGATAAGAGATGTACATGACATGATATATTTTTTTGGGGGGGTCTCATAGACAAGCTGACATGTGCTCAGGAGAGTACTGTATGTTTTAAGCGCCCCTAAAATAATAAAGTGTATTTGTGTTACTTCGTGTCACTAAAAGTGAGGTTAGGTGCGATACAATACTTATACGACAAAGTTATTAATCAAGACAAGACAGCGGAAACACCAAGGCGAAGGAACAAGTTCTCATCAGATCACGGAAGTTAAGCAACGTTGGACGCGGTTAGTACTTGGATTGGTGACTGCTTGAATTGACATTCGACGATATTTTTTTTCGTAAAATTTAATTTGCATTTTAAAATTTCTAAAAATTTTCAGCGCACTTTTGCTACTAATTATTCTATTATTATTCTATTCTATTATTCTATTTTTAATAGAATTATAATTGTACGTATAATAATACGTATAATTATACGTACAATTATACGTGTTTTTTTTCAATAGGGAAGGGAAGTTGAATATTTATTAACTCCTCGGCCGAGCGTGGAGAAAGTAAATTTAGATATGATATGATTAGGTTAATGAAATACTTAATAGGAGACACCTATTTACCATCTTTATTACATATATCATATATCATAACTATATATATAAAGCATATATACATTATTAATTCTTCCTAATTAATAAAAATGCATTTCCTCGCAAGGCGTTGGAGAAAACATCGTGTGCGACACGTGGAAGTGATTGCTACTCTCGCTGCGTTCGAGCAGCAAACTTCGCTCTCGAAAAATCACTCACTTTCCCCACTAGTTGCACAATGTACTAATATTTGCAAGAGGAATAAAAGTATTCATTTTTATCTATGGAGAAAAATTCAAATTATACAGATTCGGCTGGATGGATTCAATTTATAGAGGGAAAAGGGAAAAATGCCAAAAAAAACATTTAATTATCAAGAGACCCAAGCAATCAGTTTTTTTTTCAATTTATCAAAAGTTTCTGAAAGGACTCGAAGAACGCTTCAATTTATCGAGTGTTTAGGGATAAAGTTCCGCTTAACCCAAACCTCCAATCTTTTTAAACTGTGAATATCCACGTATTTTGGTGCACTGATTACGAAATAGTATATTTCGATACAAGGGGCCAAACGAGCGTTTTGCTCATTACAAGTGTAACGGCGTGGCAAGAATTCAATGCGAGGCAAAGCCGAGCTTTGAGTTCGAGCCACGTCGTTACACGAGTAATGAGCATACGCTCGTTTGGCCCCTTGTATCGAACCATATTTTTCTTTATAAGTGCAGGCATAACCTCGTTTGACAGCTACTTGCAGCTATTCAAAATGGCCGACTCCCTCATTGTGCGCGCGGACGATGAGCAAAATGTTTTGGCCACCGCTTAACGGTGAGCAAAATACTTTGCTCATCGTCCGCGCGTACAGTGAGGGATTCGACTATTTTGGATAGCTGAAAGTGGTTGCCAAACGAGGTTTTTGCATGCACGTATAAAGAAAAGTGATTATTTTTCGAGAAAAATAAAAAAAAAATCAAAAATGATTGAAAACCAGTGCACATCGTAACTGGAGTGAAATTTGGTACTTATAGATATACTAACGTATTTTTATGCGCGGATTACGAAAATGATAGTGAAAATTGGCCCAAAATTGATTATTATGGTGAAAACCATTAAAAAATACCATAAAATTATGGTTTTTTGCGATTAACTCGTAAAAAACGCAAAAATTTAAAAAAAATCTAGACAAAAGTTGTAGGTCTCAAAAAAACACGTTTTATGTCCTATACATTTTTCACCTAAACTGATTAGTGTTTGAGAAAAGTTTTTACTCGCGTAAAGCTTTGCTCGCTTGCATTTTAAAGAAACCATTGGCGAGAGTGGTCGGATACGGCCGAAAGTATTCTGGAGTCAAAGTCGAGTGGCATGAAAATTTTTCACTAGTTATAATGTGCACTGTTTCTCCATCATTTTTGATGTTTTTTATTGGTTTTTTTATTTTTCTCAAAAAATAATAAGACCTACAACTTTTGTCTAAAACATTTTTCGAAATTTTGCGTTTTTTACGAGTTATTTGCAAAAAACCATAATTTTATGGTGTTTTTTATGGTTTACCATGATAATCAAATTTGCGCCAATTTTCACTATCATTATCGTAATCTGTGTACCAAAATACGTGGATATTCACAGTTTAAAAATATTGCCCAAGCAGCACGGTATATCCCCTGAATATCCCTTGAATACCACCGTGGAATATTCCCATCATGTTCCAGGAAAATCAAAATGTCCGCATCATGGGAATATTCCACGGTAACATTCAGGGAATATTCCACTGACATTGAGGGTAATATTAAAGGAATATTCCAGTGATATTGTGGTAATATTACACGGTTATATTGAATTTTTTTTAAGTGTTGAAATAATATAAATATGTTATAAATTGTTATTTGAATAAGCAGGAAGATTAAAAACACATTTAAAAAAAAAAATTCAATGTAACCATGGAATATTCCCTCAATATCACTGGAATATTTCCACAATATCAACTGAATATCCCTTTAATGTCACTGGAATATTCCATGAATGTCACCGAGGAATATTCCTTCAATGTCACTGGAATATACCCTGAATGTCACTATGGAATATTCCCATGATGCGGACATTTTGATTTTCCTAGAAGATCATGAGAATATTCCACTGTGGTATTCAATGGATATTTAGGGAATATACCGTGCTGCTTGGGTGGAGGTTTGGGCTAATCGGAACTACACCCAAAAATAAATTTCAATTAGTTCAAAAATACCTGCAGAATCCATGAGTATTTTGTACTTTAATTTATTTCGTCTGTTTTTAAAATTCCACGCGGAATTCATAAGGATTTTATAATTTATTTATTTCGTCTGTTATTAAAAATCCTCACAGAATCTACGAAGATTTTATACTTTATTTTGTTATCTTTATTTCAAAAGTCCGCAGGGAATCTACGACGATTTTGTACTTTAATTTTATCGTTTGTTTTTAAAAATTCCCACGGAATCCACGAGGAATTTGTACATATAATTTTTGTGTCTGTATTTCAAAAATCCACAGGGAGTTCACGAGGATTTCGTGCTATAATTTTTTCGTCTGTTTTTCAAAAATAAGGGAAAAAAATTTCTAAACATGTAAATGTTACAGGTGTTTAGAAATAAAAAAAATTTTTTTTTTTTTATTTTAATCCTTGCCCAAATTTACTCGCGGAATCCCCATGAATTACACGCGGAATTCCCTGGAGATTTTTTTGATAGGGAAAATAAAATCCTTAACATTAGTTTACCTAAAATGTCAAATTTTAAGATTGTTTATGATATTTTGTTGCTGATTTAACTCACGGTTCTTAGTGTAAAAAATATCAAGAATATCTTCTTCTAACATTATTTTTTTAAATTACTCTTATTCTGAAAATTATTGTAGAAAATTCTTTTTTCTGTCTAACAACATTGTACGATAGGTGGCTCAGTTGTTCCAGAAAATCGATAAGTTTCGTATGTACAATTTTGTCTGCAGTTCGCGCCCCGTGTGCATGGAGTAAACGCGGCTCTTCGTGATATTTGAAATGGAATAATTGTTTTCTTTGTTATTGTTTACGTGTAGATTCGCCGTATAGTTTAACTCAAACCATGGTACGTGGTGATACTCACTCTCTCTTAATCTGAATTAGTAGAATTTCACTGATTTAAATAAGTGATATACTTATAACTGGTTACTGGTTAAATTCTAACATTCTTCAATTATATAATGTTTTGTAAAGAAATATCACAAAACATGACAAGAGAATCTGTATAAGTAAAAGGTTTTTAGAACTGTAGTATTATTATTAAGAAATGTTTGAAATCTTTAGTCATTTAAACTGACATTGTTTTGTTACGAATTTGGAGGACGTTACTGAAATTATTAACAATATTGTAATATTAGATGATCATTTAATCAATTCCTTCTTGTTCTTAAAGTACAAAAATGCAATAATGATTATGTTATAATTTCAAACACATATGTTTGTTTTATTACATGTTAATATCTTTTGAGATTATATTATAAATTCGTAAAATTGAGTAAGTGAATTTAAGTTGTGTTTTATGATATTTTATAAAATTCTATTAAATGTAGATTGTGCTACATATTTTTTGGTATTTCTAAATATCTAGGTATACTTAGAATAATTTAACCTTTTCACCTCCAAATCACGTCCCATTTAGATTCGCAGAAATATCTTGGATATACAATGGATATATGTACGTATTCCATGAAAAATCTCAAACGAGGAAACTTTTTATATCCTGAGGTTGTTTCATAATATAATATCTATGAATATTTATGGGATGTTAAGTAACGCACGGAGAGAAATAGATGGTACGGGGTACTATCTTTGATAGTACCGGATAACATCTACTTTTTACCATCTTAAGATCATATGTTGTTACCATCTATTTCTCTCCGTGCGATTAATGATAAAATTTAAATTGGAAATATGTAAGTATTTGTATCTCAGATAACACCGAATTTTGCAGGAAGTTAACGACCATAAGTTTGGAAGTATTAACATTGTTAACTTTCCGTTAACTTCCCAGATGTTTTAAATGTCCTCAGAATTTAAGTTAACACTGTTAACTTGCTGGAATTTATAAAGCTAAATTTGCAGAAAGTTTTTTTTAGTAAGTTTGCATAAATGTTGCAAAAATTTTTTTCTCATAAATTCAAAATTAAAAAAAATACTTTTTTTTAAAGATGTATGTATTTTAGTACATTTATAGCTTGTCTATAGGGAAAAATAATTAAAAAGTATTGCGCAGCCCTAGCTGCTATAGAAAACATCTGCGCATGAAAATACATTTTTAAGTTTACGATAAAAATTTTGTGTAAAATTACAAAGGAAAACTTTCAGCAAATTTACTTTTCTAAGTTTCAACAAGTTAACAGTGTTAACTTAAACTCTGAGGACAAATAAAACTTCTGCGAAGTTAACGAGAAATTAACAACGTTAACTTCCAAACTTATCGCCGTTAACTTTCCATTAACTTCCTGTAAAGTGCGGTGCTATCTGGGATACTACAACTTTGACAATGTCAATAATCTAACCTCAAGCAAGTCAAAACACGATAAAGTTAACAGGATTAAGAATGACTATATAATCAATAAATGTTGAAAAGTGGAGTATTTTTCAAAAATTTTAAGGCAAATAAATTGCTATAATTACAATATTATAAAGATTTTCCCATCTGAATCATTGCGTCTTCACAACACAGAAAAAACCTAGTCTCATTTTTGTTGCACATCAAAATGAGCCGCCTACACGGCTCATTCTGAGTTCAGTTTTTTTCTGTGAATACTGTCATAGTATTGAAATAATACTGGCTTGCCTTTATTGACTTGCAGTATTGGCACAATATAGAATTTAAATCATATCAGTACTACACCGATACTGGCGGGCCAACTGTTTGCCAGCCAATATTGGTGCATGACTGCATCTAGGTATTGTCAATATATCTGCATTTGACAGAAATTTTTGTTTTGGAGTGCTTAAAAGAAGGAGAAATCGTGATTGTCATGTAATATTGTCAAACTCACTCACAAATTTTCCTCTATATACAAACATGTTATATGAGATCCTGATCAATTGCACAGCCACACAAAAAAAAAGTACCCGGGCCGGGAATGAGACCACCATTTCTTGATGTATTTTGATGCGCTGAACACGAATCTGAAATCCGTTTAGCTCCATCACGTCAGGATTTTGACATAACCTCAAAAAACATAGCTGATTTTAAATGACAGGAGAAATTTTTTAAATAATGGCAGATTTGTTTGAATCTTGTTACTCGGGGGTTTTTGTGGGCGCTGATTACGAATTTAACATCAGATTTATAAAATTCAAAATGGCGGATTCAATATGGCGGACGAATTTTTAAAAAGTAGTTGGATTTTTACGAAAATTGGCATCTAGGGGTTTTGAGAGTCGCTGATTACAAATTTATCGTCAGATTATTCAAATTCAAAATGGCGGATCCAATATGGCGGACGAGTTTTTAAAAAATAGTTGAATTTTTATGTAACTTGGCCGATACTGGGGTTCCGAGTCCCTGCATCGTAATACGTTTCCTACGTGTGTCTGCCATGACGGCATCAAAGCCATTATCCAGGGACTTAGCCGGATAGCGGATAAACTCCGTTGCCCTCCGTCACCGAGTGGAGGTACCCTGGATGCAGACACATGTAGAAACATAAAGATATTTGACCACCGTACTATATCTGCCATTTTACATTTGAATAATCTGACGTTAGATTCGTAATCAGCGACTCCAAAAAACCCCATGATACCAATTTTTGTAAAAATCCAACTACTTTTTAAAAATTTGTCCGCCATATTGGATCCGCCATTTTGAATTTGAATAATCTGACGATAAATTTGTAATCAGCGACTCCCAAAACCCCATGATACCAATTTTTGTAAAAATCCAACTACTTTTTAAAAATTCGTCCGCCATATTGGATCCGCTATTTTGAATTTGAATAATCTGACGATAAATTTGTAATCAGCGACTCCCAAAACCCCTAGATACCAATTTTCGTAAAAATCCAACTACTTTTTAAAAATTCGTCCGCCATATTGGATCCGCCATTTTGAATTTATTAAATCTGACGTTAAATTCGTAATCAGCGACCCCAAAAACTCCCGAGTAACAAGATTCAAGCAAATCTGCCATTATTTAAAAAATTTCTCCTGTCATTTAAAATCAGCTATGTTTTTTGAGGTTATGTCAAAATCCTGACGTGATGGAGCTAAACGGACTTCAGATTCGTGTTCAGCGCATCAAAATACACCAAGAAATGATGGTCTCATTTCCCGGCCCGGGTACTTTTTTTTGTGTGGCTGTGTTGTCTTGATGTATGTGGGTGATTCTCCGTGTAGCGCACGATTTGGTGTCTGAAACTATAAAAATATTTTTTTTATCGAAATGATAAATATCAATACATATTTTTGAAGATAAAGTGTCAAGAAATAAATATCCATGGTGGGCTGGAAAAATTTTTTATAATTTTTTAATTTTTTTAAACGAATTAAAAAAAATTCTTTGCTTTTTGAATTCTATAAAATAGTTGAAATTTGATTTAAAATGTTTTTGGAAATTTTTGGGATAATTAACAAAAATATATATAGCGCGAACGACAATTAAAAATTTTTATTTCGGTAATTTACAGAAATTTTCGAGGTAATTTATGAAAATTTATGCGGTAAGTTATAGAAATTTTGTCTAAAATTCATAAAAATATGTAAAGCATAAATCACAATTAAAAATTTTAATTTTGGTAATTTACGGAAATTTCCGCGGTAATTTATGGAAATTTAGACGGTAATTTATAGAAATTTTGGCTATAATTCATAAAAATATGTAAAGCATAAATCGCAATTAAAAATTTTAATTTCGGTAATTTATGAAAATTTTCGCAGTAATTTACAAAAATATATATAGCGCGAACGACAATGAAAACTTTTATTTTGTTATGGAAATTTATGCGGTAATTTATGAAAATTTATGCGGTAATTTATAGAAATTTATTTGGTAAGTTTTAGTAAACTTACCGGAGCTATGATAGTTTATAATAAATATTTTTAATTTCGTTTGTTTCATTGTGTATTAAACTTGCACTATAGTGACGGTCGAAATTCTGTGGCGGGTGGAGACGCTGGGGTCGGTGGAACTGGCGTTAATAATTTTTTTTTTTTTTGAGAAAATCATCATTTATTTTTAATCGGTTTCATATGTTTCACATATATATAGACTAAAATAATATAACTACACTTTATTCAACCTTTATTATTTAATTATATTCTATTTTTTTAAAAAATATTGAAGGGTCGTTGAATGCCGGAGGAGACGATTTTGTGATGCCCTGTACAAATTTGAATCTTGAAATGTGTAAAAAAAGGATAAATCAATTAGAAAATTGCTTATTTTCTTCATGGATCAACTTAAGGAATATAACTTTTGCTGTTACTGAAGTAGAACTATATTAACATTTGACTTTTATTTAAATAATTCAATGTTTAATAATAAAACGCAGAATAACACACAAAAGTGCAGTCAAGTATAAATAGCAAAAAAAAAGAAAATAATTTTTTTTTGATCAAACGTTTTTTTTATTCAATATATATAGCGCGAAAGACAATTAAAAATTTTGATTTCGGTAATTTACGGAAATTTTCGAGGTAATTTATGGAAATTTATGCGGTAATTTATAGAAATTTTGTCTAACATTCATAAAAATATGTAAAACATAAATCACAATTAAAAATTTTAATTTTCGTAATTTACGGAAATTTCCGCGGTAATTTATGGAAATTTTCGCGGTAACTTACAAAAATATATACAGCGCGAACGACAATTAAAAATTTTTATTTCGGTAATTTATGGAAATTTTCGCGGTAATTTACAAAAAAATAAATAGCGCGAACGACAATATAAAATTTTAAATTTGGTAATTTATGGAAATTTATGCCGTAATTTATGGAAATTTATGTGGTAATTTATGGACATTTATGTAATTATTTATTACTTATCTAAAGTTCAATGTTTAAAACAAATTTTTTTGCTTCACATTTTATGTGCACTTATAGACACTCAAG